ATTCCCTACATTTCTCTTTCCTTCCTTTTTTTCCTTTTTTTCCCTTCCATTACTTGCTTACTTTCTTTCCTTCTTCCTCTCTCCTTCATTCCCTCCCCTTCCCTCCCTCCTTCCATCCATCTCCTTTCCTCCCTCCTTCAATCCCCTCCACCCCTTCCTTCCTTCCTTCCCTCCTTTTTTGATTTTCCTTTGATCCCTTCAATTCCATTCCTTCCTTCACCCCCCTCCCCTTCTCAATTTCCTTCCATTATTCCTTTATTTCCTTCCCTTCTATCCTTTCCCTTTCCTTTTTCTTCCCTCATTTCCTCCCATCCCATCCTTCCTTCCTCCTTCCTTTCATTCCTCCTCCCTTCTCCCTTCATTTGTTTCCTTCTTATCTTTTCTTACTTCCCTTTCTTCACTTCTTACTATTCCTTCCTCCCTCCTTCCCTCTTTTCACTTTCCTTTCCTTTTATCTTCCTGCCTTCTTCCTTCCTTCTATTCTCCCCTCTCGTTTACTCTTTTACTTTGTTCCTATCCTCCATCCCCATTCTTCCTTCATTCTTTTCTTCCTTCCTCTCTTTCTTCTTTTCTTCCTTTTTACCTTATCTCCTTCCTTCCCTTTCTTCCTTCTTTTCCTTTTCTTCCTCCTCCCTTTCTTATCTTATCTTTTCCTATCCTATCATATCCTATCCTTTTTTTACCCTTCTTTTCTTTCTTCCCTCACACCCTTTCCTTCCTTACTTTAAGGATAGAAAGAGAGGGAGGAAAGGAAGGAAGGGAAGGAGAAAGAATAGAAAAAAAAGGAAGGAAGGGAAGGAGGAAGAATGGAAAGAAAAGGAAGGAGGAAAGGAAGGAAAAAAAAGGAAGGATGGAAGGAAGGAAGAGGAAAGGAGAGAATGGATGAAGGGGATTGGGGCAGGAGGGAAGGAAAAGGATGAGAAGGAGAGGTAAGGGAAGAAATTAAGGCAGAAAGGAAAGAAGGGTAGAAATGGAAGCAAAGGTAGGAGAAGGGGAAGGACCCATCTCTTCCTCTAGAATGAAGGGAAGAGGAAGGGTGGGAGGGAGGGAGGGAGGGAGGGAAGAAGGAAAGGAAAGGGGTGGAAGGAAGGAAGAAAAGAAGGAAGGAAGGCAAGAAAAGCAGGAAGGAAGGGAGGAAGGAAGTAAGGAAGGAAGGAAGGGAAAGGAAAGAAAGGGTAGGGAAGAGAAGGGAATAGGAGGGGAGGGAAAAGAAGAAAGGAAGGAAGAAAACGAAGGAAGGGAAGAAAGGAAGGAATGGATGGAGGTCAAAGAGGGGAGGGAAGCCAGAAGGAAAGCAGGGAAGGAAGGAAAGGAAGGGAAAAGATGGAAAGGAAATTTTTAGATGGGGAGAGGGGAGGAAGGAGGGTAGGGATGGAAGTGAAGGGAAAGGAAGGAAAAGAATGGAAGAAAAATGGGGAATGAAGGAGGGAGGAAGAAGGAAGGAAAGGGAGCAAGGAAGCAAATAAGGGGAGGGAGAGGAAGAAAGAAAAAAAAGAGGGAGGAGGAGGGAGGGGGAGGGAGGGAGGAAGTAGGGAAGGAGGAGGAAGAATGGAAAGAATAGGAAGGAGCATAGAAATGTAAGGAAGGAAGGGAAAGGAGGGAAGGAAAGGGAAATGAAATAAATGGAAAAGGGAAAGGAAATGGAAGGGAAAGGAAAGGAGAGGAAAGAAAAGGGGAGATAAATTAAAGGAAAGAAAAGAAAAGGGAATGGAAAGGAGGGAAGGGATGAAGGCACAAAGGAAGGAAGGGGGAAAAAAGGTAAGGGGAAAAAAGGAAGGCAGAAAGGAAAAAAGAGGAAAAATGGAAGCAAAGGGAAGGTCGGAGAAGGGGAGGAAGGAAGGAAGGGAAGGAGGGAAGGAAGGAAGGAAGGAAGGAAGGAAGGAAGGAAGGAAGGAAGGAAATGCAGAATGAAAGAAAGATGAATGAAAAAAGAAAGGAAGCAAGTAAGGAGAGAAAGAAGGAAGGAAAGAGGGGAAGAGAAGGGAAAGAAAAATTGGGGATTGAATGAAGGAGAGGAAAAAGAGGAAGGAAGGGAGGGAAAAAAGGAGGAAGGGAGGGAAGGAAGGAAGGAAGAAAGGAAGGAAGGAAGGGAAGGAAGGAAGGAAAGAAGGGGAGTAATGAAGGAGGGAGGAAAAAAAAAAGAAGCAATTGAGGGAAGAAGGGAAGGAGGGAAAGAAGGAAGGAAAGGGGGGAAGGGAAGAAAGGAAGTGGAGGGAGGGAAGAAAGAGGAAGAAGAAGAAAGGCGTGGGGAAGGAAAAGGAAAGAAAAGAAAGGAAGAGAAAATGGGGGTAGGGAGAAGAATGGAAAAGGAAAGGGGAGGGAAGGGAAAGTGAAGGCACAAAGGGGGAAGGAAGTGGATGGTGATCAGAAGGGGGGAGAGAAGGAGGAAGGAGACAAGGAAGGGAAGGAAGGAAGGAGGGAAGAAGTTGGGAGAGAAGTTAAGGATAGAAGAAATAAAATGAAGTGAAGGGAAGTAAGGAAAGGAAGGAAGGATTGAAGAGGAAAAGGAGGAAGGAAGGAAAAGGAAAGAAGAGGAAAGGAAGGAAAAAAAAAAGGAAGGGGAGTGAATGGAGGAAGGAAAAAAAGAAAGGAAAGAGGGAAGGCAGAAAGGAGAATAAGCAAGGAATGAAAGAAAGAAGTAAGGAAGAAAGGAAGCAAGGAGAGGAAATGATTGAAGGAGGGATGAAGGAGGAAGGAAAGGAAGCAAATAAGGGGAGGAAGAAGAAAGGGAAGAATGAGAGGAAGAAGAGGAAAAAAGAGGGAGGAAAAAGAGAAGAAGAAGGAGGATAGAAATGTATGGAGGGAAAAAAAAGGAAGAGAAAAGGGAAGAAGGGAAGGAGGAAGAATGGAAAAGAAAAGGAATGAGCAAGAAATGAAAGGGGAAGGAAGGGAAAGGAGGGAAGGAAAGGAAAAAAAAGAAAGGGGGTGGAAGAAAGCACGGAAAGGAAAGGAAAGGAGAAAGGGAAAAAAAAGGGGAAAAAAAAGGAAAGGAAAAATGGAAAGGAGGGAAGGGATGAAGGCATAAAAAGGAAGGAAAGGTAAGAAGGAAGAAAGGAAAGCAAAAAGGAAAGAAGGGAAGGAAAAGGGAAGGAAAAGGAAGAGGGATGAGAAGAAGGAAGGAAGGAAGGAAGGAAGGAAAAAGGAAGGAAGGAAGGAAGGAAAGGAGGAAGAGGAAAGGAAGTAAGTAATGAGGAGGGAAAAAAAAAGATAGAAAGGGTAAAGATGGAAAGGAAGGTAGGGATGAAGAAGGAATAGAAGGAAAAAGGGTGAGAACGGAGAGGGAAGGAAAGGGAAGGAAGAAATGAAGAGGGAAAGATTGTAGGGATGGAAGTGAAGGAAAGGAAGAAAAGAAGGTCAGGAAGGAAAAAATGAAAGGAAGAGAAAGGGAATGAAGGAAGGGAAAAGATGGTAAAAAAAGAAAAAGATAAAAAGATAGGATAAGATAGGATAGAATGAAGAAAGGGAAGGGAAGGAAGAAGGATTGAAGGAAAAAAGGAAGGAATAAAGGAGAGAAGGTAAGAAGGAAGGGGGGAGAGTGAAGGAGAGAATATGAAAGAAGGAAAAGAAAGGCATGGAAGGTATGAAGAAGTGGAGGGGAGGGAGGTTGAAAGATGGAAAAAGGAGGGAAAAAATGAAAGGAAGGGAAGGAAGGAGAGATGGGAAGACGGAAAGAAGGAAGGAAGGGATGGGAAAGAAGGGGGGAATTAAGGAAGGAAGGAATTGGAAGTGAAGGAAGAAGGAGAAGGAGTTAAGGAAGAGAGTGAACGAACGAAGGGAAAGGAAAGACATGAAGGAAGATAACGGGAAGGAAAATAGGGAGGAAGTAAGGAAATAGGAAAAGAAGTAAAGTAAGGAATGGAGGGAGGGAAGCCGGAAAAAAGCAGGGAAAGAGGAAATTAAAGGAAGGAAGGAATCAGGGAGGGAAGAAGGATGGAAGGGAATGATGGGAATGAAATGACGAATAAAAGAAAATGGAGATGGAGGGGGGGGGGGATGAAGGAGGGTAGAGATGGAAGTGAAGGAAAGGAAGAAAAGAAGAAAAGAAGGGTAAAGAAGGTTAGGATAGGAAAGAAGGAAAGGAAAGAAGAAAATATATGAAGAAAATAAATGAAGGGAGGGAAGGAAATCAGGAAGGGAGGAGAGGAAGAACAGGGAAGAAGGAAGGAAGGAGGGGAAGGAAAAGAAGGAAAAGAATGAGGGAGAAGAAGAAAGTCAGGGAAATTATGAAATGTAGATAAGGGAAGGGATGAAGGAAGAATGGAAGGAGGGGGTGAAAGGAAGGAAAGGAGGGAAATTGGGATTTAAGGGAAGGGTAGAAGGAGGGAAAAAAGGGAGATAAGGTAAGGATGGAAAGAATGAAATGAAGGTTCGGAAGGAACTAGAAGGGAGGGAAGGGGAGATAGAGATGGAAGGAAGGAAGGAATTTGTACTTTTGCACGGGCAAATTAAAAGCAGCATCTTGGGGAGAGTGGCTGATAAAAACAAGGAGGTTCGGAGAGTATAGGCGATTTTCTGGAAGACGGGCAAGGATCTCCTGCAGCTGCTTAGCAAATGTTTGTCTGCTTCATCAAAAACGACATACTCCACACTGTGGAACTTCAGATTCCTGTTGTGCATCAATGATTATATCAGAATTTTAATGTAGTGATCTTTAGTGTAGTGATCTTCGATCTTGTCCCCACCCAAAATAAGAGCAGTCTGCAAACCAGTGAATTTTCCAACCAAACGCTTTCAGTAATATCAATTCAAATATTTTAAAACCATGCTCCCGGTACACCAGTGTTCGTTGCTCACTCGTTCAATCATAATATATCCAATCTGCAATCATTGGCACAGCAAGTAAGTCAATTCCAAATGAGCCATGTCATGTTCTTTAAACAGCACTGCAAGTGTCAAGCTTGAAAGTGTCAAGATCATTAATCTTTCCTTTTCTAAAATCTATTACTCTCTCTCCTCTGCCAAAGGCAGTTTTCCTCATTTCCTGCACTATCTGCTTTATTTTATTTTTCAGCATTTTCTTTCCACCGCTTTGAAAAAAAAACTGCTTCAGCTGTGCTCTGATTTTTCTGTGATTGAGAATCTAGTGTTTTTTGAGTGTGCTCTGCTCAGAGAGGAATTTCTTCTCCAGCATGGCGAGACCAGAACAAGGGATGTACTCCCAAACTGATTGTAATTGGTCATTTTCAAACGTTTCACAGACTCTGGAGCTTGTTACTGGTCTGAATTTGCTGTAATGTTTGCAAGCATTCTCAAAGATGCGATGCAGGCTCTGCTGTTCTAAAGCCCGCTCATGATCTGTGATCGGTAGAGCATCTTCATCTATCAATCTTTGCGGGACTCCATCACCATGCGCTTCTTGATTCGAAAGTGTGGGAAGACACAAGGGTCTTCCTAGAAAGAGGTGGAGATCATACACATAAGGGTGTTTCATCATGAGCTACCATATCTAGCATCTCTTTTCAGCACGGTGTTTTGGTGACGCAAACATGCTTCACAATGCCGCGCGCAATAGATGTAGAAGCAAAGAAGTTTTTACTTTTTGCCCTCGCATGAAAAAAAATGCAAAGCTTTAACTGATTCATTTAGCTTTGTATATCAACATCCAGACGGATTCGCACATGTTCCCGTAAAATCTACTCGTTCAAATTCAGCAGCATCTTGGAAAGAGTTGGAGGAGAAGAGAAAACCAAGGTTAGGCTATTTTTCTTCTCTGGAATGAAAGGGCTAGGATCTCCTGCAGCTGCTCAGGAAAAGTTTTTCTGCTTTCATCAAAAACGGGACATAATCCACACTGCGTAACTTCCTCAATTCTGGGCCGTGGCATCAGACGGCCAGAGTGTAACAAAATTATATCAGCATTTTCATTAGTGCAGGAACCTGATCTTGCACCTTGTCCTCGCCCACAAAATAAGAGCAGGCTCTGCAAACCAGTTCAATCCATTCCAGATCTGCTCCATCATACTCGACTGATCGACTTTGGTGAGCGGCAGAAGGCTTAAGAGTAGCTAAAAGTGTTGCAGCTGTTTTTTGGAGAATGAAAGTGTAAGTGAAAAAATGACAAAAAGTCTTTGCACAGCAAAATAGAAATTCCTTCACTTCCTTTCCGCCCTTTTTCTTTCCTTTCCTTCCATCTCCTCCTTTCCTTTTTTTCCCCCCCTTACTCCCTTCCTTTTCCTTTCCATTCCCTTCCATTCTCCCTTCCGTCTATCTACACTAACCCTACCTTCTTTTCCTTCCTTCGCTCCTTAATTTCTATCCCAATTCCTTCTTTTCCTTCCTTACTTCCTTCCCTTCCTTCATCCTTCTTGATTCGAAAGTGTCAAGGAAGACAAAAGGGTACTTCCTTCCTTCCTTCTTTCCTTCATCCCTTAGCTCCTTCCCTTTCTCTACTTCTCTTTCAATTCTGCTCCCCTTCCCTCCTTCCCTCCTGCCCTCCCTTTCCTCCCTTCCTTACAAAACTCTTCCATTCCTTCCTTCCATCCCTCCTTTTTCCTCCTTCCTTCCTCCCTTCTCTCTTTCTTTCTTTTCCTCCCTTCTTCCTTCCTTCTTCCCTCCCTCCTTAAGGAAAAAAGGCTTTTCCCCTCCTCCGTTCATCCCTTCCCTTCCCCCCCCTCCTCTCCTTCATTCCTTCCATTCTTTTCCTTTTTTTCCCCAAGTTCTTTCCTTCCTTATTCACCTTCTCTTGCTTCCTTCCCCTCCTGCCCTTCCTTTTATTAGGTGCCTTTTTTCTCCCTTTTCTAATTCTATTCTATCTGTCCTTCCTTCCTTCCTGCTCCTTCCTTCCTTCCTTCCTTCCTTTCTACATTCCTTCCTTCCCAAGAACCTTCCCCTTCCTCCTTCCTTCCCATCCTCTCCTCTTTCCTTTTATCCTCTCTTCCCTACTTCTTCTTTCTTTTTCTTTTCCTTTCTAATATTCTTTAATCCTTTTGTCCCTCTAGCCCTTTTTCCTTTTTAAACCCGATCCTTTCAATCTTCCTAACCCCCCTCTCTTCTTCTTCCCTTCCCTTCCCTTTCCCTCCTTCCCTCCTCCTCCATCCTCTTCCACTTCTTCTTTCCCTTCCCTCCTCTTCCCCTCCTTTCTTTAACTTACTTCCTCTTCTTCCCCCCCTTCCTTCCATTCCATCTTTTTCTTTCCTTTCCTTCCCTCCTCATCCCCCTTCCGTCCTTCCATCTTTTCCCTTTTTTTTTTTCTCTCTTTCCTCTTCTTTCCTTCTTTCAAAATTTCTCTATCCTTCTTTCTATCCCTCCCTTTTCCTTTTCCTATCCTCTTGCCATTCCTTCATTCCACCCTTCCTTCCTTCCCCCTCACTCCCTCCATTTCATTCCTTCCTTTTTTTCCTTACCTATTCCCTTCCTTCCTTCATTCCTTCTTTTTCTTTTCTTAGTTCCTACTCTCCTCCTTTCTTTCCTTCCCTTCTTCCCTCCTTCCCTTCCTTTATTCCCTTTCTTTCCTTCCATTCCTTCTTACCTTCCTTCACTCTTTTTCTATCCTTCCTTTCCTCCTCACTCCCTTTATCTTTCCTCCTTTTTTTTTTCTTCTTTCCCTATTTTTCTTCCTTACCTTTTCCTATCCTCTCTCCCTCCTCTCCTTTCTTAACTTCTCTTTTTCTCTTTCCAACCTTTCCTTTCATTTCCTATCCTTTCTTTGTTTTTTTTTTTTTCCTATCTCCTTTTCATCTTCCCCTTTTTCCTCCGTCCCCCCTTTCTTCCTTTTTTCTTCTCCCTCTTTCCCCTTTTTTGACTTCCTCTTCCTTCTTTCTTTTTTTTTCTTTCTTTTTTCTTTCTTTTCTTCTTTCTTTCTTTCTTTCCTCCTTCCTTCCTTCCTTCCTTCTTTCCTTTTCCTCCCTTTCCTACACTTCCCCTCATTTCTTTTTTTTTCCTCCCTACATTTCTATCGTTCCTTCCTTCCTCCCTCCCTCCTTCCTCTTTCAATCCTTCCTTCCATCCTTCTTTCCATCCTTCTTTCTTTCACCTCCTCTCCTTTCTTCCTTTCCTCCCTACCCTTCTTCCTTCATCCCTTTCCGTCCTTCCTTCCATTCCATCCTTTCCTTCCTTCTTTCCCCTCCCTCCTTCCTTACTTCCCTCCCCCTCTTCTCATTCATTCCTTCCAGTCCTTTCTTTTCCTTCTTTCTTTTTCCCTCCTTCACTTCCCTCCCTTCCTTTTTTTTCCTTTTCTCCCTTCCTCCCTCCCCTTCATTCCCTTCCCTTCCTTTCATTCCATTCTTTCCTGACCTTCTTTTCTTCCTTTCTTTCACTTCCATCCCTTCAATCCTTCCTCTCTTCTTTCCTTCCTTCCCCCCTTTCCATCTCCATTTCCTTTTATTCTTTCTTCATCCCTACATTCCCTTCCATCTTTTTCCCCCCCCCATCCTTTTTCCCTCCCTCATTCCTTCTTTTTTTTCTTTCTTATTTTCCTTTCCTTTCCTCCCCTCCTTTCCTTCCTTCCTTTCCCCTACTTTCTTGCCTTTTGCCCTCCCCTCCCCTCTTTTCCCTTCCTTCCTTTTTTCCCTTCCCTTCCTTTTTCTATCTATTAACTTCCTTTTTCCTTTCTTCCCTTCCCTCTTCACTCCCCCTTCCCTTCTCTTCCTTACCCTTTCTTTCCTATCCCTTTCTTCCTTTTTTCCTTTCCTGCATTCCCTGCCTTCCTTCTTTCCTTTCCTTCCTTCTTTCCTTATATCCCTCCCCTTTTTCCCTTACTTTCCATCCCTTATTCCCCTCCCTTTTCCTTTTATTCTTTCTTTCCTTTCCTTCTTCCCCTTTTCCTTCCTTCCCTTTGCTTAAATTTCTCCCCTTCTTCCCTTCCCTCCCTTTCCTTTCCCTCCTTTTTTTCCTTCCTACCTTTCCTGATTCATCCTTCCTTCCTTCCTTACCTTCCTTCTTCTTCCTTATTTTCCTTTCCTCTATTTCTCCCTTTCCTATCCTTTTCCTTCTTTCCCTTCCTCTCTTTCTTCCCTTCCCTCCCCCTTCCTTCCTTCCTTTCTTCCTTCCTTCCTTCCTTCCCTCTTCCTTTCTCTTTCTTTTCTCCCATTCTTTGCTACCCTTCTTTTCATTCTTTCTATCCAGGTGAAAGGGGAAAAAAAAAGGGATATAAAGGAATGGAAAGGAAGATTGGAGTAAGGGAAAAAAATAGCACAAAGGAAGGAAGGAGATGGAGGGACAGGAGGGAAGGAAAGGAAGGAAGGAAGGAAGGAAGGGGCGAAGGGAAGGAGGGAAGGGAAAAATAGAGGCAGAAAGGAAAGAAGGGGAGAAATGAAAAGCAAAGGGAAGTTAGGAGAAGGGGAAAGGAGGAAGGGAAGGGAAGAGGGGAGGAAGAAGGAAGGGAGGGAAGGAGGAAGAAAAGAAGGAAGGAAAAGAAGGAAAGGAAAGAATGGGTAGGGAAAGAGAAAAGAATGGGATGGTAGGGAAAGGGGGAAGAAGGAATTTGGAAGGAAGGGAAAAAAAGGAAGGAAGGATAATGAGGGAGGGAAGAAGGATGGAAGGGAGGAAGGAAAGAAGAATATCGAAAATGAAAGGAAATGGAGAAATAGAAGGGACGGGGGGGGGAGGAAGGAGGGTAGGGATGGAAGGGAGTGAAGGACAGGAAGAAAGGAAATAAGAAGAGAAGAGTAGGAAGGATAGGATATTATAGGATAGGAAAAGGGAGGAATTGAGAAAATGAAGGGAAGGGAAGGAGAAGGGAAGGAAGAGAGAAGAAGGAATGAAGGAAAGGAAGGAAGGAAGGGAAGGAAGGAAGGAAGGATCAGGGGTAATCAATTTGAGTGAAAGAAGAAAGGAAGAGATAAAGAGAAAAAAAAATTCCTAAGTTTAAGAAGGAAAAAAAAAGAAAAAAAAGAAGAGAAGGTAGAGTGAAGGAAGAATTTGAAGGTCCAGGATAGAGAAAAACAGGAAGGGAGGGGAGGAATCAGGAATGGAAAGAAAGAAGGAGGATAGAAGGAAAGGAAGGAGAGGAAAGGAAAGAAGGAGGAAAGAAAAGAAGGAAGGAAGGAAGGATGGGAGGAAGGGATTCGGAGGGGAGGATGGAGGGGAGAGGGAGGGAAGGGGTAAAGAAAGCAAAGAAGGAATTAAAAAGATGGAAGGAAATGAAAGGAAGGAAGGGTAGGGAAGAAAGGAGGAAGAATGAAAAGGACCAGGAAGGAATGGAAAGATAAGAAGGGAAGGGAGGATGAGGAAAGAAAGACAGGAAATGGAAAAGGAAGGGGGGTGGGGGAAGGAAAGGAGGGAGGAAGGGATGGAAGGTAAGGGAAGGAAAAGGAAGAAAGGAAAGGAGGGAAGGAAAAAGGAGGTAGGGAAAGTAAGGATGGAAAAGAAAGGAAAAGAAGGGAAGGAAGGGTAGGTTTAGGATAGGAAAAGGGGGGAAAAAGAGGAAGGAGGGAAGGGGGAGGGAGGTAAAGGAAGGAAGGAAGGAAGTGGATGGAGTTTTCAAGGAAGAGAATGAGAAGAAGGAGAGGAGGGATGGAATGGGGAAGGGAAGAAAAGGAGAGAAGGTAGGAAGGAGGGAGAGAAGGGGAGGGGCCGTGAATGAGGGGGAAGGAAGGGTGAGGATTTGAGGAAGGAAGGAAACAAGAAAAAGAAGGAAGAAGATAGAAGGGAAGGGAGGAATGAAGGGAGGGACAAAGGTGGAAGAAAAGGAGAAGGGAGGGAAAGAAGAAAGGAAAAG